CTTCTTTAATCTCGCTCTTCCATGCGATGGAAGAGAAATCCTGCCCCCCGGAGACTCGCCGCGACCCACCGTCCGCGCTTTTTCCCCCCACCCCGCCCTTGCCTCCCCAGGGAAATCCGTGATTTGCTTTACTTTCCAACCCCCCTTCATCCCGCTTCTCCCCTCCTATCACTCGTTTCCCTCATCAAGATCCTCATCTGCGAGGTGGGGGGTGCCTGACTTCACGTTGCCTTCCTAAATGTGCCCGGGCGCACTGAGGGCACCCCGGCGGGATGGGGAGCCGGGGGAGCCGGGGAGGCTCCAACACCTCGCAGATATCCTTCCCGTCGCCGCTTCGCCTTTCACGGCTCCCTGAAGCCTTCGCTTGCTGCTCTGCTACCGACTTCGGATCCGCTTGGAAGAATTATTCCGCAGCAAAGGGCTGCCCTGTTTTTCACAGGGGTAACAAGGGAGCCCTGACGCATGGGTAATTGCTACCAGCCGTGGGCTGCCTTCTGCTGGCACCCCAAAACCCCTTAACTCCCCTTACCCCAGCCACACCGGGGGGGAGCAGCCCCAGCGCACAGGGCCAGGGGGTCTCCGCAGAGCAGGCAGGCAGGGTGGGAGGGAGGGATGGAGAAATGCAGGGACTTGCCTAAGGTCACAGTCAGAGCTGTGGCACAGCTGGGAATAAACTGCATTTCACAGGATTGTAGGAAAATTCAGGACAGAAGGGACCTCAGGAGGTCCTCTGTCATTTTAAAAAGTATCTCTGTTATTTAGGCACATGGCTTCTGTTTTCAAGTCACCTAAACCCCTTAGACATTAAGTCGTATTGAGAATCAGTGGGATGTAGGCTGTGAGATGCTGGAATTCACTGCAGGGAAAGGGATGTTGGCTCCTAACTCTCCTCCTCCTCCCATGGCGTGTCAACCTAGCAGCCATTGGCACCACATGGGGGAAGCAGAGGGAGCTTCTGTTGACCTAGTTGAGGTCCATGGAGCAAGACAAGCTCTGCCTGGTGGCTAATGTCCTCTGCTTCGTTAACTCCCCTTACCCCAGCCACACCGGGGGGGAGCAGCCCCAGCGCAGCAGGGCCAGGGGTCTCCGCAGAGCAGGCAGGCAGGGTGGGAGGGAGGGATGGAGAAATGCAGGGACTTGCCTAAGGTCACAGTCAGAGCTGTGGCACAGCTGGGAATAAACTGCATTTCACAGGATTGTAGGAAAATTCAGGACAGAAGGGACCTCAGGAGGTCCTCTGTCATTTTAAAAAGTATCTCTGTTATTTAGGCACATGGCTTCTGTTTTCAAGTCACCTAAACCCCTTAGACATTAAGTCGTATTGAGAATCAGTGGGATGTAGGCTGTGAGATGCTGGAATTCACTGCAGGGAAAGGGATGTTGGCTCCTAACTCTCCTCCTCCTCCCATGGCGTGTCAACCTAGCAGCCATTGGCACCACATGGGGGAAGCAGAGGGAGCTTCTGTTGACCTAGTTGAGGTCCATGGAGCAAGACAAGCTCTGCCTGGTGGCTAATGTCCTCTGCTTCGTGCTACTGTGGCCAGGCTGCCCCAGAGCCGACATAGCAAGGGTTTCTTCAGGTGGAGAAACTAGAGGTACTGGAGACAGTACTAGAGAAGTTACACTGAGTCCTAGTTCAGCACCATATCTGTAATAGCCGTGCTGCCTCCTCCATTAAATCCTCTGCCCCAGGTCTCACTGCAGTTTGATTTTCTTTTGCAGAAGGACTTTAGGTGAGTCAATTGAACTCAGAAGTGCCTGACTTCCCAGTGTAGGTAGCATCACCCCCCCTGCCTTGTGGTGGTGCTGGCAAACTGTCCTGATATCCTCAGCTAGAGCCTGTGAATTATTGCTACTAATGCCAGGGCATGCCCTAACGACCATTTTCTCCATCTTTCATCTCAGAGTTCCTCTAACTCTCAAAGATGAGAGCCAACAAAGGGATTTTTGGTTGACCTGGTTTCTCCCAAATGTCCCAGTGAATGGCAGTAGCACCAGCCCCTCCAGCAGGGTCTATCTTTCAGTGGAAGCCTACGTTAAACATTTGGTGGCTCTTCTCACAAGAGAAGGAGGTTTAAACCCAAGATCTTGGCCAAATTTCAGTCTCAGCCATTAAATTCTGCCTACCTAAAATCCCCCTGCTGTTCCAGCTTGCCTCTGTGGACCAAATCCATTCGAGGAGTAAATAGATGAAGCCCATTAAAAACAAAGGAATTTGCAGCCATTTACACCATTTGTTTTTCATGTCTTGCCCTTAAGGTGCGTGTATTTTCTGGGTGCTGGTTATATAGCTGCTCCCTTGGTGGTAGCTGCATTACGGAGTGCTTCCAAGAAGAAACCTAAACCTGAGAGTCCCTAGTCGCATAACTGCCTGTCAGACCTTCCCCTTCTCTCATTTTAGTATCCTTGTGGCTATGGGTATCACAAGAGAGCTGGGGAGGCCCGAATCAGGGCTGGGTCATGATGGTCCTTGTCCCTCAGAGGGACACACTGTGTGGTACATCTAGCCCGTCCCCGTCTGTGCCCTCTTCACGGAGGATACAGCAGCGACAGCTGCCAACTACGGAGCGCAGACGCCATGTACATACAGACCTGCACCGAGTGCATTAACCTGCTTTCGCTTCATTAGTTAAAGCAGTGCAAACTGTGTGTGGACTCTCTTGTTATCATCCGATTGGGTTGCTCCTGTTTACCTTAAAGGTGGTTGAAACTAAAGCTTGCTTGAGACTAGACTGAAGGGAGAGAGATTTAAACTGGAATAAAAGGGTCCATACAACCTCTTCTACCAGCTGAAGTTATTTAGCTGAAAGTTACTTTTTAAATTAAGCAAGGATGAGTTTCCTGCAGAGTAAACCCTGCCCTTCAGTGCAAGTCGTGGTAGCCCCAGAGCCATTGGCACGCTTTCCACATGCAATGGAGATGGGCAGCGATGCCTGAGTTCACAGAGACCACCTTGCCTCTGGAAATCAAAGCAGTGGGGCCGTGCTGGCATTGGTATTTGGGCTAGGAGTAGTGCAGCCTCGTGCCATGCCACCGGAGCAACACGGCTTTCCGGACTGAATGCAAGAAAATCTCCGTGCAGTGCTGGCTGCTCTGTGCCATATGGATGCAGCAGCTCATTCTGCTGCATGGTACCTATGTGCCAAAATGATGGCATGAGGTGAAAAACAGATGGAGGGAATTGCCTGCCTGCGGGGGAGAAGTGCAGAGTAACAGGACCATGATTATGAGTTGTAGCGAAACTTCTGACCTTTCCTTTCTGCAGACCACTTAATGTCAGCCTT